AGAAACATCTACATTTTATCAGTGAGTTAATTAGCAGAAAATTATCAAAGTTTCTGACAGCCTATTGCATTATTATAATAATGCAAAAGGGTGCACCTAAGGATGGTTGTACCTATCAACTAGTATCATGAAACTAAGGATTTTTGCCTTTTCTGTTTCCTATAGTCACATAACTAATCAGAAAAGCCTGTTGTTTTAAAGGCTAGGACTAGAAATGCCACTATGCCCTGCTAATTTTTTTTTTATATGTTCAACCAATAAACTGAGACAATGCCTGCAATAAGCTAAATCAAAAAGAGAGGACACAAAACTAAATATCACAACTATTTTAGAGGAACAAAAACTTCCTCTTAAAAGGCTAGGAGTGTATCAGATGTGGTGGTATACACCTGTAATCCCAGCACTTTGGGAGGTCGAGGAAGGAGGATCTCTTGAACCCAGGAGTTCAAGATCATCTGGGCAACAGAGCAAGACCCCCCATTCTCTAAAAAATAATTTAAAAATTAGCAGGGTGTAGTGGTGCCTCTAGTCCTAGCTACTCCAGTGTCTAAGGCAGGAGGGATCGCCTGAGCCCAGGAGTTCAAGGCTACAGTGAGCTATCATCATGCCACCTGTATGTGCCCCAGAGGCTGGGTGACAGAGCAAAACCCTGTCTCGAAAAATAAAAATAAAAACGAAAATAAGGCTGAGAGTAAATATGACAGAACAGTGAAATTACAGATAGGTAATTATCACTTTATTCTTTTACCTGTTTTCTAAATGCAACAGATGGAACATATACCACTTTTACAATCAGGAAAAAAAAATAAAAAATTTACAAAATATGCTAAGAAACAAATATAAAACACCATTCTTTAGCTTGGTAATATTTTTTAAAGTGACAAACACAGGGTCTTTCTCCTGAACCTCTCTAGGCCCTCAAAACCAGTCACACACAAGACCATACAGAACTATACCAGCATACTGCACTACAGTGGTATCAGCAAACTTTTAAAAAGTAACCGTTTTTCACCTTTTCAACAGGCAAGAACTGGGAAGTTCAAAGTAAAGAGATCAGAATTAATAATTCCTCTGCAGAACACATTAGTATTTTTGGATACATACATAATTTAAGGATTCATTTAGCAATATTACAATATTACATCTTATCATGGATCAAGATATAGAAACCAAACTTAAAATAGGACAATGAAGCCAAGTGGCCCACTCCTGTAACCCCAGCCCTTTGTGAGTCCAAGGTGGAAGGATCGCTTTAGCCCAAGAATAGGCAAGATAGTGAGACCTTGTCACTACAAAAAATTTCAAAAATTAGCCAGGCATGGTGGTGTGTCCTTGTTGTCTCAGCTACTCAAGAGAATAAAAACATTATTATTTAAAATAAATGTATATATAAATATTTAAAAATACACACACACACACGCACACACACACTCTACAGAAGCTGGCCAGACGTGATGGCGCTGCCTGTATTCCCAGCACTTTGGGAGGCCAAGGCAGTTGGACCACCTGAGGTCAGGAGTTTGAGACTAGCCTGGCCAACATAGTGGAACCCCGTCTCTATTAAAAATACAAAAATTAGCCGGGCTTGGTGGTGGGCACTTGTAATCCCAGCTACTAGGGAGGCGGAGGTTGCAGTGAGCCTAGATCATGCCACTGCACTCCAGCCTGGGCAACAAGAGCAAAACTCAATCTCTAAATAAATAAATAAATGAAATACAGACGCTATTGCTTTATTTTTATTTTTTTTTTAATAGAGATGGGGTCTTGCTATGTTGACTAGGCTGGTCCCAAACTCCTGGCCTCAAAGCAATCCTCCCATCTTGGCCTCCCAAAGTGCAGGGATTATAGGCGTAAGCCGCCCTATCTGGCCAGAAGCTATAGCTTTCTAACTCGGGCAGCATCATTACTCTCGTAACTTCCCCTTACAAATAACTACTATATAATTTCTGTCAACCAATAGTTCAGATGATATTAACTTTGATACGCTGTGTTGGCTTTTTATTTTTAATTACAGTTAACTACAAGCTAACTTCCAATATCATTTAAAGTTACTTGAACTTTCGGGAGAACAGCAGGTATAGGAATTAAATTTAAAACTTCTCCATACTAGGTTGGCAAACTGACACATCAGGTAACTGCTATCTCCTTATACTTTAAAATGGTAAAGTCTGAAAAAAACAGTGACTCAGGAACACATAAATCTTATCTGAGCTTTATAAAGAAAAAAGCAGCACACTAAGGTAAAACATTAACTGATAAATTCCAACAGCTGAATGGGGCAGACACTTTAAAAGTGATCTATTATTTTTGCTGCGACTCATAAAGCCAGACAGAAAAATGTTAAAAATTATCAAACTTCCAAACCACCTTTTTCCCTGTTCATGCACATATCTCCCTTGTGTTGATACTTCCTTTGATGAGTTACCATTAATGTTGATCTTGTGACTAAAGTGTTTTTAGTCAAGGAAAACTGATTATGTCAAAATTAAAGTGCAAAAGAATGGCATGCTTGAGTAATAAAACATTCAAAACCAATAACTCCTAAATCATTACTTCACTCCTCCGCACAGCAGAAAGTTAAATATTTTTTCTCTCCCATTTTCTTCCAATCATTTTTGGGGGTGGTGGGAAATGCCTCCCAATATAGAAAATATAGGAAAATGCTGGTAGCATACTTGTATCTTCCTTGCCCCTCTGATACTTTCATCAGTCACAAAAGACTAAGGAAATGAAAAACAGCAATTTATTTACAATAAATCTTAAGTAAAAAGACCAATATACTACATGTTCTGGAACACAACCACGTATTGGTAAATCTCTTTAAGGAACAGGCTGGGGCCGGGCGCGATGGCTCACGCCTGTAATCCCAGCACTTTGGGAAGCCGAGGCGGGTGCATCAGGAGGTCATGAGATCGAGACCATCCTGGTCAACACGGTGAAACCCCGTCTCTACTAAAAATACAAAAAATTAGCTGGGCATGGTGGCGCGTGCCTGTAATCCCAGCTACTCAGGAGGCTGAGGCAGGAGAATTGCCTGAACCCGGGAGGCGGAGGTTGCGGTGAGCCGAGATCGCGCCATTGCACTCCAGCCTGGGTAACAAGAGGGAAACTCCGTCAAAGAAAAAAAAAAAGGAACAGGCTGGAAATACATTTATCACAGTCCAAAGTCCACCCATTAACTTCAGATCCTTTTTCAGACTGCCAACTTTCAGCCACTTAAAACTTAAATGTGCTTGCTTTCCTAAAATAATTCTGTCCTCTTGACAAAGGAAATCTAAGAAACTTTCAAAGAGAAAATACTTTTATTTATCTTTATGAATGAATCATAAACAATTGTTTTATAAATTGTAAATAAGCTGAATTAAGAGGAAATTAAACATGAGCCAATGTAAATACTTGTACTCTTCCTATACCTTGAAATACTACAGAAGCTTGTGTTTGAAAACTTTCAGTGGTAGAACAGCTCGAAAATAAAACCTCCATCCGGGCGTGGTGGCTCATGCCTGTAATCCCAGCACTTTGGGAGGTTGAGGCGGGCGGATCACCTGAGGTCAGGAGTTCGAGACCAGTCTGGCCAACATGGTGAAACCCCCATCTCTACTAACAATACAAAACATTAGCCGGGCCTGCTGGCGCATGCCTGTAATCCAGCTACTTGGGAGGCTGAGGCAGAAGAATCGCTTGAAGCCAGCAGGTGGAGGTTGCAGTGAGCCAAGATTGCGCCTCTGCACTCTAGCCTGGGCGACAAGAGCAAAATTCCGTCTCCAAAAAAAAGAAAATAAAACCTCCTCCGGTAGAAAACAAGCTAATGAACCAACAAGTTTCAACGTTCAAAGCGAGAAGGGCTTCTTTCAGCGTTATTCTAGTCCATGGAGCTCAGCTGTAATGTAGAATGCTCATAGTAACCGGGTGCGGTTGCTTGTATCAGCCAACTGACAGCCCTTCTCCCTCAGCTGAGCAAAAACCCGCCCCCTAAAAAGTAGCTTTTAAAAAGTCAATTATCTAAAAAGAAATTCAAAAAACCAACAACACTGTAGTTACTATCTAACAAGGCTACCCTAAAATTCAGCGTCATGATGTTCAGTTCAGTTACTGAAAATTTATCAGGTTTTTAAAAAAAATGTTTCTAAAATTCTTTTGCATTAGACCTTAGGCCAGCTAAAAACAAGTTTGAAAACCTAGGAGAATAAACCAAATACATTTAAAGTTTTTTTAAACAGCCAAAGAAATAGACAAAAGATAAGCGATTTTCAGAGAATGCGATGAACAAGGAGGGGAAAACTTGAAAAGGAAACCAGCGCACGGCAAAGTTAAGCAAAGGGAGCGCTTAAGGACTCCGGACGCTTCGGAAACCTTAGGTGCTCCCTGGCCACCGCACTTCCTGCCCCGGGCGGCTCTGGGCTCCGGGTGGCCGCTGGCTCACATACCAATGCAGTGTGCAGGGCCTGTACACGAAGCGCAGAGGGGGGAAGGAAAAGGCTGGAGTTGCTCTGCCTCGCTCCTGACCGCTGTCCACACCCGGGCAAGAAGGTATGCAGATCGCACCCCCAGGGAGGGCCTAGCCAAGTGTCTGATTCCTAGAGTTGGCTTTCCCCACATCTCTGCCCAATGTTGCCCAGCTTTCAATAAGATCGAGGAGAAAAAGCCAAGTCCAGCAAGAAGCCCTGACCGAAGCCCTGTCCTTGTCTCGCCGGGCGACCGATCTGGGGCGATCGCTCACCCTCCGCTCCATTGTTCCCCCTTAAGAATTTCTACCGACCCCCGACCCAGCGCCCCTCCCCCACCATGGCTGGCGGAGGGAAAAACAGGCCCAGAGGCCACCGCAATTGGGGAGACCCTGCCTTTCCAGGGTCCCGTCTCGACTCGCAGACCCTCACTCACCCATCAAAATGCGCATCTGCTTCTTGCCAAAGAGGCGGGAAAAAAGGGAGGAGATAGTGAGGCCCATAGCGGTAGTGGCACTTGCGATGGGCAGAAGCAAAAGGCGTTTGGGGCGGCCCCGTGCTTTCTCCTTTCGCGCTCCCAGCAAACTAAACAAGAAAGAAGAGAAAGCGGAGGAAGAAACAGGGAGGCTGGAACGTCTCGCTGGCAGCTGTGCCGAGGAAGCTCCGGGACAGGAATTAGCCGGTAGAGGACCTGCTAGGCGACTGGCGCGGCAGCTCCGGCTCTAGCCTTTAGGCTTTGGCTGTGCCACGTCACGCGGCGGCCGCGGCGACTTCAGCCGCGGCCCAGCCCCTCCAACGCGGACAGAATCGCGTCACCACTGCCCCATCCCCCTGCGCTTCCGGTGCTGCCGAGCCACTGCGCTTGCGCGCGCAGGGGATTGGCTGGTTTCGTTGACGTGCTTCTCGCGTCGCCGCCACCGCCCGAACGTGGCTCCAAAAGCCGAGAGAGACCAGCTGACACATGCGTACTGGAAGACGGACAGAGTCCCACAATACCTCGCTTCGTCACTTCTAATCAGAGTATGGGCAAGACGCTTCCGCCAGGATGAAGGCATTGTCGAGGTGACAGTCCTTGTTTCCGGAAAGGCAAGCTGAGCATTGTGGGTTAGGTGAGGAACCGCGCCCTCTTCTATTACGGTACGCGCGTTGGGGATTCCCTGATGCCCTGAACTTACACGTCTCACACACCGCACCAGACTCTTGCCTTAGTTTACGCTTGAAGACCGGGCAGTACTTTTGCGGATTAAAGTGGCTAAAAGCCGACGCTTGGGGGGAGAAGCTGTGGCACCCCAATAAGGAGCTAGGGCTAGACGCTTCAACCACTACGCCAGGTCATACTGAAGATCCCTAATTCTGTCACGGCGAGAGCGCTCCAACACATTCATCGGCTATTGCTTTTTCAAGAGAAAGCAACGAGGAAGTCTTGCTTTTCTTGTACTTTTTCTCCTAGAAGCATGAAAGATTAACACGTTATCTTGAGGAAGTGGAAAGCCTCTTCACTTTAAAAGTATTTGTGATCAGGCTGGGAGCGGTGGCTCAGGTCAGGAGTTCAAAACCAGCCTGGCCAACATGGTGAAACTCCATCTTTACTTAAAATATAAAAATTAGGGCCCGCGCCTGTAATCCCACCACTTTGGGAGGCCGAGATGGGTGGATCACCTGAGGTCGGTAGTTTGAGACCAGCCTGGCCAACATGGTGAAACCCATCTCTACTAAAAATACAAAAAGCCGCGCATGTTAGCAGGCGCTTGTAATCCCAGCTACTCGGGAAGCTGAGGCAGAATGGTGTGAACCTGGGAGGTGGAGCTTGCAGTGAGCCAAGGTTGTGCCACTGCACTTTAGCCTGGGCAACAGAGCAAAACTCTGTCCCAGGGGGAAAAAAATTAGCCTGGCGTGGTTGCGGGCACCTGTAATCCCAGCTACTCGGGAAGCTGAGGCAGTAGAATCGATTGAATGGAGGAGGCGGAGGTTGCGGTGACCCGAGATTTCGCCGTTGTACTCCAGCTTAGGCGACAAGAGCCAGACTCCGTCTCAAAAAAAAAATTATAATCTCATAGTTTTTCTGATTACAAAATAAGGTATGTATGTTGTTTAAAAAAAAAGTATTAAAAAGCAAGTTCCTCATAATTTTCTCCACCTCCAACATAATTCTTCCATCACATTGTTGCTGCAAGCCAACCCCTGCTCTTACCCCAGTTAAGCCATGTTCACCCACCTTCAGATCTGTTTAAAGATATTTTCTCTAGGAAAATACTTTGTCGACTTCTTGAAGAGATAAATCTATTACTCAGCTGAAAGCATCATAACCTCCCTTTGTAGTTATTATTTCACATTTAATATTACTATTGATGGCCTGCTCCCTTCCCCACTTGTCAGAAAACACCAGGAGGGCAGAAAACTAGTCCATTTTTATAGTACATTGTATTTCCTGAATTTGGCACACCGCCAATACTCAATAAATATGGTTGAGTGACAGGATGACTGAACAAACTGGTGTATCCATGCTACAGAATAAGGAGAGCCGGGCAGAGTGGCTCACGCCTGTAATCCCAGCACTTTGGGAGGCCGAGGTGGGCAGATCAGCCGAGGTCGGGAGTTCCAGACCAGCTTGACCAACATGGAGAAACCTCCTCTCTACTAAAAATACAAAATTAGGGCCGGGCGCGGTGGCTCACGCCTGTAATCCCAGCACTTTGGGAGGCCGAGGCGGGCGGATCATGAGGTCAAGAGATCGAGACCATCCTG